TAGTTGCGAAGTTGTGTCCAACCCATCGTGACCCCATGGACAACATTCCTCCAGGCCTTCCCATCCTCCACCATCCCCCGGAGTCCACTTAAGCTCCAGGCCTTCCTGTCCTCCACCATCCCCCACTTAAGTCCACTTAAGCTCACACCAACTGCTTCAGTGACTCCATCTAGCCACCTCATCCTCTGTCGTCCCCTTCTTCTTTTGCCATCTATTGTTCCCAGCATTAGGCTCTTCTCCAGGGAGTCCTTTCTTCTCATTAGGTGGCCAAAGTATTTGAACAACACAGGTACTTAACTTACTTTTGAGTTAAGTACAATCTTAGAACCATCTACCTAGGAGTGGGTCTCATTGAACACAGTCACTTGGTTCACATTTCATAGTGGCAAACCTTGGGTTAATTAACACAGGATTTGCATAGAGCAAGTTTCCTGTATGAATAAATAACCTACAAATATACTGTTCAAGGGTTGTTAGTGTGGAATCAAAACCTGGACACTCTGGGTTACTTATTTGTTCAACAATCCGAAGTTAATCTAAAATTTGTTGTTTGAGTTAACTCTGAGCTGTTTAACTCATAAATAACCTGAAGCATCCAGGTTTGGATGTCATGTTAACAACCTATGAACCAATGAAAACAATGGGCCTGACTTTCAAGTAAGCATATTTAGAACTGGGGTCCCTGATCAAAGGTCAATTATGCCTTTGGTACTAACAGAAGAATAAAATTGTCTGATTAAATTTAGCATCTAACTTATTTGTTGCCTTACTTGCTCAATAGATAGATATTTTTTCTACAGAAATATCAATGCATGTGTCTCAACCATAATTCTGTATTCTGTGAAGATTATCTGTTAAGAGTACAAAATGCAAATTACACAGGAACTGATTCCACTGAAGCTACAATCCAAGCATATTTATTCAAGTCCTATTGAATTAGATTGCACTAACATGCATAGGGTTGTACATGAATAACAAAAGGGTATAGTGTTGGAGTATAGTTCTTGGAGTATAAACATGCATGAATTCATCCATGGGTTAATTATTCCTGACACTTTAAATATTTTAGCACAAATAACATCCTACCCCTTTTTTTCCTTTTTAAATATGCACATTAAGGGGGAGGGGGTTGCAAAAAATGCTTTGCCAGTAAAATACGTAATAGGTTGTATTCAGGAACTGCCTTCTGTGAGAAGTGACTTCTATGGAAGGAAAGGGCTACCTAAGGAAAGTCTACCCAGCTTTTGGGGGTCCATTCATAGTATTTTCAGGAGGTTGCTGAGGCTGGTGTGGGGAGAAGGAGGTAGCAAAGTTCATTTCCAGCAGCACAGCTGATCCAGCATAAATCTTGATCCAACCCAATGGCAATGAATTTGACCCAGAGAGCCTTTATAACCTTGAAAATATAATTTTGTTTTAAATTAACATAACCAGGGCCCAATTATGAGTAACATTTTGCTGCATTACATCCATTGTACATGTATACAGTGTATTTTATATTTATTAAAGCTAGTATACCTCTATGCTGTTGGGAAAATTTGGATAAATCCTGTCTGAAAAGCATTACCTCTGTGTGCCTTTGCATTGTGGGATCAAATCCTGTCTTCCTTCTCAAAACCAAGCTGTCACTGTTTAAAATGGCATTCCCCCCGCTCCTTTCGCTCACCTTTAGCTGTGGGCTACAGTAGACAGGCCATTTAGTCCAAATATACATTGTAAATAGTCATAGTTGGAATTCAGTTTACAATAATCTTTTGATAGCCCAGAGGGCTTCATGTGCCCTGATCATGCAGAATGTTTAGAGTCGAGATAAGGGTCTGAGCTTATCATGAATAGTTTCTAGTAGCTTGAATTTACATGTCTAAGCAGACCTGGAGATGGGTTCAAGTTACTCAATGAACGTGGCAATAAAATGCAATTAGAAATATTGCAATCTCATTGTTACAGTATGATTGACTGGCATTCCTTTATCTGTTCTGTATGTGATGACCTCAGAACCTTATTGTAATGTCTACATTCTGTCATCAATTGCCCTGTACCTGTATGTGACTGGGAGTGTATAAAAACTCTCTAGTTGTGTTGAAGCTTGGCAGCAGAGTTCACCTCTGCCTGCCCGGTAATGCATGCATTATCGTGAGTACCGCAGGAACCTTGGGGCAAATACAATAAAGCCTCAGATGGTCTGGACGCTTGGTCTTTCCCACAAACCCGAGTTTTATTCCCTCTTCTCAAATTGAGATTCCGGGATTCTGATAATTTGGCGACAAAGGTGGGATCATGGGTTTTTGGGCCCTTTATCCTGGGTGGGAGAGATGGTAAGTACAGCCGAAGTTCTCTCCATTGTGGGAGCACAGATACTGGCCATCTCTTCCGTTTCGCAGGCGGGTCAATGTAATTAGATCTGGTTTTGAACCTCATTGCACGTTGGCTTTGATTGTGGACACCCAGGAAGCATGGGGGTTTCAGAATCTCAGCTTACTACCCCATGGACACCTCTGCATTAAATTGTAGGGTGGTATGGGTGGCACCTGCAGGGTTGTCGCGGAAGCAAGCGCTTGGTATTTTGATTTAAAACAGCAGGGTTAAACCTAACTCAAGAGATTCCAATCTAAATTGGTCCCAGAGGGCTCATTTGATTGGAATCGGCTACACCTCTTGAAAAAGCATTTGGTGGAAATACATCCTAAGAAGATGGAATCAGGGTTGTTTGGTCCAAGCTGGTGGAGGAAAAAAAAAAAGCTAGCAAATATGGTAATGGTGCACCAGGAAAGATCTACACATGTGAGTATATATTTGCACTGGGGTTTGTGTAGAGTTTTAAGTTCACTGTTGCTGTCTGTGTTTTCTGTCTTGTCTGTTTGTATTTTTAAAGTGTTCCCCTTTCTGGGAGGTAAGCATAGTCCAGAGTGGGTTTTGGGAGTTCCTCAGGAAATGGAAGCTCCCCATGCAGCTGCACCAATCTGTCCTCTTCAGGGCATGGTTGAAAGCAAGGGGGTGGATGGGTGTTTTTGCCCCTGAGATGAGAATGTGTGAACCTGGCTTTGATTGAGAAATAGATTCATGAGGTCATTTGCCTGAGCCCAAGCATGGCTGAGTCTGGCTGGGCAAAAGGTGATGATCAGGGAACGTGTGTGTGAGATTTTTTTCCTTCCCCCGTTCCTTCTATATGAGCCAGAACTGGGAAGTAAGGAAATGTGTGGCCCTTGAATTGGGCTAACACAGGTCCTACCCAGTTTTCTGGACATCCTCAATAAGCTTATCCTGTGTGAAAGCCCTGTATGAAAGAGGGGTTATATAGAAACATTTTTACGCAGGTCCTTTCCTTGTCAGAACACGGGAACACTGTTTTAATGTCTTGTTGCAAGTTTTCCAGCCTCTTCCATCTGTCTTACAGCCCTCCTAGGTAGGAAAAATTTTTTGAGAATACTTAGTAGGAATCCTGAAAGGATTTCCAGAAAGATAAAGAAAGGGGTTTTTCTGTTATACTGGGACATTTGCTGGTAAAGTCTTAGAAATTTGAATTGTTGTGTTTAGCAATTAGCCTGAACAGTAGCAGACTGGAATTCAACAGGGCAGAGTGTAAAATCAGGGGAAGACAGATTGCAGTTAACCATTAATAAATATTTCTGCCAAATTGTCGTTACTGGTTTTTCGGCGCCAGGTAAAGACCTTTTTATTTAAACATCATTTCAATTGTTAAAACATATGATCTGGCCGGGGCAACTTCTTCTTCCTTCTCTTTCTCCTCCTATATTTTTATTTTATACTGATAATTTTAATTTTGTATTTGT